AGGGAAGGGAAGGGAAGGGAAGGGAAGGGAAGGGAAGGGAAGGAAGGGAGGGAGGGGAGGAGGAAAGGAGGAAACTATTCACGTCTGCATATTTCTTGACAGTCTTGCGCAGCATTTTTGGCTCAATTCATTGTTCGTCAGGCAACAGCTGCACAACTTGAGCACGTTGGGGTCAAGACCTGAAGAGGAGGAGAGAAGCAGATTTCAGTGACTACATACGAGGAAATGGAGGATGAAAAAAGGGCGAGGACGGGGAGGAGTAGAAGCTCCTACTCCTCTTGCGAGGAGGAGGGAGGGGAAGGGAGGGGAAGGGAGGAGGACGAGGACGAGGGAGGACGATAGAGGAAGAGGAGGGAGGAGGAGGTGGGAGGAGAGACAGCTTTCTTCTTCTCTGACCGTAGGTCTGACTTGTCTTCTGCTCCAAGGGCTGTTGGGGCTATGAGAAGCTCTTCCTTCCTCCTCCCCCTCAGCTTCTCCTCTTCCTCCTCCCCTGCTGGGAGCGGGCGGAGCGGCAAGCTCAGGTTCAGCTGCCATCCTGCTGGATCCCATTCGAGCTGGAGGGGGAGGAGCATCTGAACTTTCCTGCCCTGCCTGCCCTCCCGCTTCCCCTCGCCTTGCTCCTCTCACTTCTCCTTCCTCTCCACCCTCACCGGGACCCCTTCTCGTCCCCATCCCCCTACCCCTCCCCATTCTCATCCCCCTGCTCCTGCCCAGGACGGTTCCCCCAGCTCGTCCTGCTGTCCCTTGGCTTGCTTCATCTTCTCCTTCTTCTCCTTGAATGCGAGCTTGAGGCTTATCAGCGTCTCCTCCTATCCTCCAGTCAGCCCTCCCTCTCCCACCTCCTGCTCCTCTCCCTCTCCCTCTCCCTCTCCCCTCCTCCTCTTCGTTTCCTCTCCCCCTTTCTCCTCCTCCTCCCCTCCTCTCCTGACCTATTTCTTCATCTTCTCTCCTTGCGAAGCGATGCGTCCTCCCGTGCACCCTCTGCCCTTGGGAGGAAGGAACCGCTTCCTGCGAGCTGCCCTCTGCATCTGACGTTCCCTGCCAAGAGCTCAGATCATGAAGAGGGAAGGAGAGGGGGAGCGAAGAAGGGGAGAATAAAGAGGAAGGTAGACAAGTCTACCATCCTCGCTTGTCGACTCTTCATGAAACGTTCCCGCCAGCCTCCTGCTCCTGCTGCTCCTGCTGCTCCTGCTGCTCCTGGTGTCCTCCCTCGCTCACTCTCTCCCATCTCTGCTGGCTTGGCTTCATCCTGCTGGCCAAGTCAATGGACGAGGAGAGAGAAGGGTTCAGATCTGTGACCTGAGAAGAGCCGAAGCCACGGCGGAAGGAGGAGGAGGAGGAGGAGGAGGAGGAGGAGGAGGAGGAGAAGGGAGTCCACGTCTCTCTCTTCGATCCTGTCCGTTCGAACATGCTGGGAGGTCTCGACGGTAGATCTTCTTCTCCATCCTGCGACACCATCACCACCACGATCATCTCCATC